GACGCAGCCATCTTGCCTGCACATCGTAGGGGGTCTTTGCCTGCAAAAAGTAAACATCTCTTCGAAAGCATGACCGAATCGTGATAACAACTGATAAGCTACCCCTCGCTCACCTCTCCTCAAACTCTTCTGAAAGCTGGACCGGCGAACTTTATCATGTTATGTTGAAATTATCATCAGGTCAAACACGGGAAATATCGAAACTTCCCTCATATTTCATTGTTGAGTACTTAACTACAATTGTTCATTACCCTAGAGTCTCTTTTACACGTAAGTTCGTTTTAGTAAATATTGTTTTATTCATAGCATGATCCGCTGTTGGTAACTGCGCTACTCAAAGTATTTATGTTTTTCGTCTTGGTTCTGGGGGCAGAGATGGAAAGTGAAAATTCTGACATAGATCATCAGTAACTAGGAGCATGTCACTAATGAGTCTCTCTTCATAGTTCTGGTGAAGAATGAAAGAACTCTTCACTGCGTTAAGAATTGGCAAATTCCACCCAGTGGCGTGCAGTCTAGATAAGCGAGGCCTGCTTGCCTAAATATTTAGGAGTAAAGACCAAAATTATACTCTTATACATGTTTTGAATTTCAGCCAAAAATTATTGTTTTTAGGTTTTAAGTAGGTAAATTGTGGTTCAAACAGAAGGGGAGAGACAGGGCATGGAACCACTAACGACAGGAAAGGTGCAGAACGGATGGAGGTGACTTAGCTTGCTCCACAGCCAAGACTAACTCTTGCTCTGTGAGACGAAAGGGGCTGAACAGAAAGCCATTGCTCTGCAGGAGAATCAAGACTGGTGGGGAGAGTGGCACGTCCTGAGTTCGAGCGAATCGATGCTTGATTGCAGCTAGCTTCCCTTGGCCCTTCACCGCAGTGCGCTGCTCTTGCCTTCGCTGCGCTCTCTTGTTTCCTCGTTTCATAAGGGTTAAGATTGCTCCCTTTGGAGCAAGATATGCCCTCCAATTTCTTAATATGTTGTCCATTTCCGTCTACTTGGTGATGAATGTGACAGTCTCAATCTAGTTTTAAATACAGATATATGAATTTCCAGCAAATTTATGTGGTTCAACAAATTCTTAATGCTCCAGAAGTGGGTCTAGAAATACCTTGAATAAGTGGCGAAATCGAGAGATAAGAGCTAGGGGTGGTCCTTCAATGCTCAAACATATCAGGAAACAAGTTCAGGGAAATAAAATAATAAGAGAGCAAGAAATGAGACCACACTTTTTCAAAACGTTCTATTGTATTTTATCCGTAACGCGAGAACCAATCATTTCACCAAGGTCAAATACAGTGTTGTATGTACATGACTTGCAGAATTTCATGGAAAGTCACCCTGACAGAGAGTCCACATCGCCTCGAGAGGAGAAATGACAGACAGAAGAAAGTCAAAGTCGAAAAAATTGAATTATGACTTGATAAATTATGCAACCTTTAAAACGGTATATTTATTCTCGTAAGTCGTAGGGAATATTTTTTGACGTTTTTCAGCGCAAACTGCAACACTTGCACTCAAACTTCTCCGGGGAGGTATAGATTTTTAAAGTTTTGCAGAAAAGGCAACTATGCCCCCCTGCTCCCTCCCCCCTAATCATCCGAGGGGGCTGAGATTTTGTCCAGGCATTGGGGACGCCCACATTTAAGCAAAGTTTGGACCCACACAAAAGGGGGTGGGGGGCAAAATCGGCGTTTTTGGAACAGCCTCTATCGTAAAATTTTCCATCTCCGTCTGGGGGTGATCGCAGTAGCAAACGATATATTGCATTGGCAGTGACGAGTGTGAACTACTGATGAGATCTGAAGAGACCCACGGCGTTTCCCTCGCTTAGTATTCGGCCTGAGTTGGACATCCTTCCCCTCAGTCTTTCTCTGATACTCAGTGGAAATTATGTTTTGACTCTAATGAAACTTTTTGGAGTTTTGTGGCCATAATTTCCCTACAAAATAGTGTTGACCCAGCGCTATTCTACCAGAACTGGGGAATATAAGTATAGACAAATGTCACATCAGAAAATGGCACCATTCAATAGAAATTTATCCGGCAACTCATGGGACGACCGATGATTGATGCAGTCAGGTTGATGTGACTTCTAGTATATTTTCCGAAGAAAATACACTATTGCAATTATTGCATTCTCCCATGATGTCGGACCCAGACCTGAGACCTTGTGAAGAGCACCGATCACATGCCGCAGATCACGAAAATATATGCCATTCAAATTCATGTGCATATGTACAAGTATGCGATAAAAACACAAAAAATCAGTGGGAAACAAGGCTAAAATCAATAAACACAATATGTAGAACGTTTTGGCTGGTCAACCAAGCCTTTATCAACCGCTAAAACACAAATAAAAAATTAAAACCAAGGCTAAAAAAACCACTACATTAAAACGCACGTGATCAGCCCAAACGAAAAGGACTAATCTATGTAGGTATAAATGTGTACATATGTTAATGTGTCTTTTTGTCTTATGTATACATGTACGTATGTATTTCCGCCTTTTTACGATTTTTCGATTTTTGAGTTGTTATATATCTCTCACGTTGAAAGATATTTTGACCAATTCTTTTTCTCATTGTAGAGTCTTATTAGAGCTACTATTCCGCCAAAAAAATTGAAATTTGATGCAATAGATTTTGAGGGGTGGGACTCAAAAGTGGGGGGAGGTCAAATCTTGTCCACTCGATAACTCGCGTTAAAATGAAACTTTTGAGCTGAAATTATGGGTGGTAGTGTAGTTCTAGGACTGGCCTGGTATTATATTTGAGCAAAATCGGCTGCGCCGTTTAAAAATGACGAGCTATGAAAATTTGTGAAAGTTTTAGGNCGGCATGAGGGGAGCCGGCCGGAGTGGGGCGGCACAGTGACCCCACGGAAGGAGGGTTTTGGACAAACTGTTCGTCCTCGTCGCACAGTGGGTCAGGGTAAAAGACCTGTCTTAGAACAAAATCTCATCCTTTTAACCGTTACGACTATTTTTCAAATTGAAAAAAAATGGCTGGGAAAAATTAAAAATATTGGTAAATCCCAAGACTTCTGCTCCCACTTGGAGAAATACGCTCTCCTTCCCGCGGTGGATGCGTGGGTCACTTACTTATGTAAAGGGAAATGCGACTGATAAGACGCGCGCGAGGCGGAGTGCCGGTTTTTTCCCATTCTTTTCTTTTCCCAGTTCCATCCTGTTGCATTACATCGGTTACCTAAGTCGAAAATCTGGGCAGGTTTTGACGTTTTTGTCTAAGATACGGCGAAAGCCCCCACTTATTAGCTTAAAGAATCATCCAAGACCAAAAATTTGCAACATTCAGAGGGATAATAACAAAATTTGGGTACAGAGATTGAAGCGCATTAATACAGCAATCAATAGTAATGTTCTTCTAGCATATAAGTGCATTGGTAAACGTGAGGCAATGGACATCACTTCAATCGAGAAATAATAAGGCCTTGTTCACACGAGTGCGGTTCGCGGAATTTGTTCCCGGAACAAGTTTTAGCTGAGCTGAAAACTTATTCCTCCTAAACCCAGAACTTCCCCCGCACTCCGAGCTTCTACATACAGGGTGTTTCAGACCACCCGTACCAGGTCTTTTTCTCGGTTGTTTTAGGTCGTACGAAGTCGGGGACCGCGGGGTTGAATGGGGAATCGACCCCAAGGAATCCGAATTTCGTGGTCCCGAAACCCTCCCCCTCCCCCTTGGGGGGTGAAGGGGGGGTCACGATGCTAAAAGTCACGGTTCCCGACCGAATTGCGGATAAATCGCATCAGAATTGAAATGCACGGAAAATTTCACGTGAAAGTGACCCCTAAAAATCCAAATTCGGCCCATCTAAGACCCAAAAATGACCCCCTGAAGAGGGGGCCAGTAGCTTCCTCCATAATTTCTCTTTGGTCTCAAAATTGACGAAGATTCTCCAGAAAAAGACGGATTCCCAGGTAATCAACCCCGAGAAATCCAAATTTCATGGTTCCGTAGCTCCTCTAGCTCCCCTTTGGGGGGTAAACGGGGGGCCCAATTTATAAAATCGGGGCTCCTTTCCGAATCGCAAATTGATTACATCCAAATTGAGGAGCAGTAGAGTACCTTTATAGACAGAGTATGGTCATTCGTATCTTTTTACTGCAGGAAAACTATTCCGGTTTTTGATTGGTCAACGACTTTTTAGGCTTCATGATGCTCTTAGGGCCGTAAATAAACAAACAAGATGGCGACTCTCTGTATCATTGATAAGAAGCTACATTTGAAAAAAATATCAATTATTATTATTGATATTATTATTATTGATAATAATATTATTTTATAGCAGTTACAATTTAAACTAGCATATCTACGAATAACACACGAAAAACACGTGAATACATTGTTAAACCTTTCACCTTTATCACAGGAGGATGTAAGATGTGCATAACCTCAAACTTCCTTGCTGATAACAGCCATCTTGTATGTTTATTTACGGCCCTAAGAGCATTGTGTCAGCCTATTCGCTCGCGACCAATGAAAAACCGGAACAGAAATGGCCATACTGTGTCTATAAAGGTATTCTACTGCTCCTCAATTTGGATGTAATCAATTTGCGATTCGGAAAGGAGCCCCGATTTTATAAATTGGGCCCCCCGTTTACTCCCCAAGGGGAGCTAGAGGAGCTTCGGGACCATGAAATTTGGATTTCTCGGGGTTGATTACCTGGGAAACCGTCTGTTTCTGGAGAATCTACGTCAATTTTGAGACCAAAGAGAAATTATGGAGGAAGGTACTGGTCCCCTCTTCAGGGGGTCATTTTTGGGTCTTAGATGGGCCGATTTTGGATTTTTAGGGGTCACTTTCACTTGAAATTTTCCGTGCATTTCAATTCTGATGCGATTTATCCGCAATTCGGTCGGGAACCGTGACTTTTAGCATCGTGACCCCCCCTTTAACTCCCAAGGGGGGTAGGGTTTCGGGACCACGAAATTCGGATTCCTTGGGGTCGATTCCCTATTCAACCCCGCGATCCCCGACTTCGTACGACCTAAAACAACCGAGAAAAAGGCCTGGTACGGGTGGTCTGAAACACCCTGTATGTTTTTTTAGATGTGAATTTGTTTGTTTTTTTCTTTTACGTCCTTTACATGTCTTATCATTTGTTTTTTTTACTTTGGCGGCCGTAATAATATATTATTTTGCAATAATTGTACAGTTTTATTGAAGTTCCGGTTCCAGTTCGAGCGAACTCGTGTGGACAGCATCCCTCCTTTCAAGGAACAAGTTCCGGGAACTGAGTAGTTCGTCGAATAAGTTCCTCGAACCACGCTCGTGTGGACAGGGCCTAAGAAAAAGTTTTGTTTTTATTAAAACTTATGTCGATTAAAACAATTCCAGTCTTGTGCCCCGGTAAATTCTAGAAAGTTACTTATTTAGTAAAGCACATGATCAACTGTAAAAATCATGATTTATGCTGAAGCGTACCTTGACCTGTTACTTCAGTTACGAGCTTTCTGGCATTAAAGGTAGTATCTAACTAATTGAGTGTCCGTACTTGGTTGTTCCCATGGAGTCCATGGCATGGGCAGAATATCAATACATAGAGTAATCTAAGTTTCTGAGCAGCAGGGAATAAACTTGCAACATTTGGTTGCTCCTTTTATGTTTCTGACTCACTGTTTAAAATATAAATCGTAATAAAATAAACATAAGAATATGGGTAATAAATATTGTAACTGTTGTTCTAGGGTATCTCACTAACAAAATGCTTGGGAAAGTTGCAAGGCAAGTGTGCTCACCTCTTCATCCCAAGAAGGTAACTTTTTTCAACCAGCATCTCAGGCTTGCAAGTCATTCAGTCGGTAGTCCAAAAGAGTATTCAGCCCCGATTTCATCACATCTTGTCAAATTTAGCCTTTTCAAAGCCAAACTTCTTTATGGCTTGTACAATGCATTTCATGCTCAGATGATATTTTCGGTTCCTGGTCGGACATTTTCGCTCGTGGAGTCCTAATCTGCAGTCGATAAGTTTAACAGGTACCTGTTACCCTGAGTGCTTGTTAAAAAACCAGAGGATTAATTCGTAACAAGAGGTGATAGAGCCAGGCCTCAGTTGTGAATGGGACTGATTTTCAACCGGAATCAGCCTAATTACCTACCTACAACCTGCATCGGATGTTGCCTGATTTCCTTTCATGTTTTGTTTGTCAGCCGGAAAGTTACATAATATCATTCAGACTTGAAAAATCTAAGAGAATTGCAGATAAAATATCAAGGCGTCATTTTCTTTGGTCCTCTGTTGAAAAATTAAACTTGTGGCGGAAAATTAGACACCAAGAAATGTAATTTGGCTGAATTGGGTAAAATCCATCGAATTCTCGAATTAACATTGGAACAAACCCAAATTGTTGTATCTCTGACTATAATTCATTAAGAATTATCTGCCATCAAAAAGGTACTTCCATGAGACCTAAAATTTCCGCTTGCCAAATTTGAGCTTTATTCTCTAGTGTATTTAATGTGGCAGGTGGGTGAACATTGAGTAGTGAAGATCAGGAAAATATAATTACTTCTGTAAAGATTTAGGTTCAATTGGCCAATCTGCCTGTTTCAATTTTGCTTGGCCGATTACAGAAAAATGAATGCATCAAATGATTTTTGATTTCATGATTTTTCTCATTATCCATTTTTACAGAGTTTCATGCAAATTCGAAAATTGAATTTACTAGAATGCCACTGCAAAGATCTCTTAAGGAATCACAATGTAAATGTTCAAAACTATAGAATCATTGAGAAAGTGGAAGATTCAAAGAAACTGTTAGATGATTTCAGTAAGTATCTTTAATTTGGTTTTTTATCTTATAATTTATGAGCTGCCTGTGAATCCTGTGAAGAAATCATATATTTTGTTGACTCTCTCACTGAAAAATACCGCTTAATAAACAAATCAAGGTTAAGCTGAGAATCAAATGACTTTTCCTGATATTTTTGGACCGATTGTAACGCTACGCTAAAGGAGTATTCGATAGATTATCATGACAGCCAATGGGCCTGTTGCAAACTTTTGCTAGAGCAAAAATAAGAGTTGTCTCTATTAGTAAATGTGCCAAAATTCACCATGAGCGCATTGGTAAAGTTTGCAATTCACTCCTAACTTCACAATCTGTGTAAGAAATTTACATTATTTTGAGCTTCCGGCTTCAAAAGTGATATTACAGCACAGGTGAACATTTCGTTAGAAAAGCCGTTCCATTCAACCCTTTCACAATAGCAATACCCAAGATAGCCAACGCCACTGCGCGCAAATTGCAATCGGGAGTTCAAGGTCAACCAAAGTGGATCTCTAGGTATGAACGCGATATAATCGTGAATGTAAACACGCTCAGTTGTTAACAAATAGTTAGAATTTCATCCAGGCACATGTGTTTTGGCGAATTGGTGTCGGCCATGTTGAATGTAGTGTAGTATCCTAGTGCACAGGGGTTGGATAGAACGACACCTCTAACGAAATGTTCACCTGTGCCATAGTATCGTTTTTGAAGCGGGAAGCTCCAAAAAACGCAAATTTCTTATGCAGACTATAAAGTTAGGAGTGCATTTCAAACTTTGCCGATGCGCTCATTGTGATTTTTGAGACATTTACTGACAGAAACAATTCTTAATTTTGCTCCAGCAAAAGTTTTCAATAGGCCCATTCTACCTGGCTCATCAATGAATTTCCTTTTTTCCTTATTTGCTCACTATTTTATTGTCAACAATGGACCTACAGGGTGAAAGGACCATTTTTAGAGAATTGGCCCATAAGTGCCATTTTATGCACTTTCAGGCGTAGCTCACTAACCCTACTGAAATTACTGAGCAAGATAATGTTAGGATAATCACCAATTTTGAGGTGTATGTATCTTACTATGGTCCACAACTCTCAAAATAACTCAATGAAACCTCAATTTTGCCTCGCTGGTCTGACTGTTGGGAAAAATACAAATATGATTTTCCAATTTAACACAGTGCGTTCCACAACCTTCTCACATGAGATGTGCAGTATTGTACGTTTTTTTTTTCTTTATGCATGTACTACAGTCTTGTGTTTCCTGTCTGTATTTGGCAAAAAAATGGCATGTTATCGAAAATGCACTTACCAAGCAAGTATTAACATATCCATCATGTTGATGTACCATTAATCGATCTTCAATCGCTAGTAGCAACACCGATTTTGGTTTTTCTGTACAATATATTAAACGAAAAGCTCAGTTTATTTTCTGACTTATTGTGTTCGATTTTAAAATTATTTTATTTCCAGCACATTTTTTTGTCCCTCGGATTTATGAGTTTGCCTGTGTATACACTTTCTTCTAGTGCTTTTCACAATATTTTCTTGCTTTCCCTTTCTCGTTCACATGGCACATGTGAAAGTATCGAATTGAAGCAATTTAGTTATGAGAAAAGAGGTCCAAAGAATTAGGAAGTTATTCACATTACTGAGATCTGCGCTCTCAAACACAGGAACAACTTTTACCATTTCATAAAAATTCAGAAACCGGATACCTACAATAAATTATTTTTTAAATGTCTTAACAAACATTTTTGCAGTATTTTATAAAGATGAATGAACAGTTTTGAAGGTTATTTCAACCATATCAATTTTCAGTGAATTGCTTTTGTCTGAGCACTATGTTCTTTTGTCACAGAAGTAGATGAGTACGTTATCAAAGCTCAGGTTCTGGCAGGTGGACGAGGCAAAGGACACTTCAGCAACGGATTTAAAGGTGGAGTTCATATCACAGAAGAGTAAGTCACCAGTCACAGTCTTTTCTATCCATAGTATCCTTTCCTAACCCCCCCCCCCCC